GTGATGTCTAGAAGTTTTTCAAGACACCTTTTAAACTTGATAGAGGGCCATTTAAAATACTTTTGTAAAGCGCCTGAGAAGGGTTCGTATATGTCAGGATCTTCGAAATATATATAGTATGGGACATCGGGTACAATATATTCCTTGACAAAATTTACAACATCTGATTCAAGGTTGTTCTTTGAAATTTGCACTAATAGCCGCTGTTTTCTCTCGAATAAAATTATGATTTTCGGCTTGGCGGGAGAGTGCAGGACCGTTTTAATTACGATCTGATTTTGGCCAAAGTTCAATGGTTGGTCTGATATAGGAATTGTAACAACCGGGTGTTGATTATTAGAGTGCCGGGTTTCATCATCCTTGTCAAGTTCGTCTTCATTAGTATTGGTTTTGTCAATAACAAAAGGAAGTTCGTGGTAGTCAGTTTGTTCTGTTTCATTGATTATATCTTTGTCAGTATTTGTATTGTCAACGGTAGGAAGTTCCTGGCAGTCAGGTTGATCTGTTTCATTGTCCAAGTTGACAATCATTGAGATATCGTCTAGTTCAGGGTTTAAATTGGGGTAGCTAATATCTTGAATTATCAGTGGTGAATTTGGATTAGCTTGTGTCGTGGGAGGTGTGTTTAAATTTTGATCTACAAAGGTAATTCTTTGATTCTGATAGTTGGAGGCTTCTCCAAGGAAGTCATCGAGTTGTTCCCAAAAATCGTTAGTTTCCTTAGTATGAATTTCGATTCTAGAAAGAGCGTCAGCATTTGTATTGAGTTTGCCTTTTTTATAGATGATTTTGAAATTATATTCGTCACGTTTCATTTTCCATCTCATTAATTTTGAGGAGACGCCTTCCTTTAATGAATAAAGGTACTGGAGGGGTTTATGATCTGTTATAATATTGAAGGTCTGCCCATAGAGGTAAGGTCTGAAATATTTGGTAGCCCACACTATAGCTAACAACTCTTTTTCGGTAGTGCTGTAATTTCTTTCCGAATCATTTAAGGTTCGTGACGCATAAGCTACAGGCAAATCACTACCGATTGGACCCTGACTAAGAACTGCCCCTAAAGCTACATTGCTTGCGTCAGTTGTCAAATTGAACGGTCTTGTGAAGTCTGGGTACTGAAGTATTGGGTCGTTGGTAAGTAATGTCTTACAGTTTTCGAAACATGATACAAATTCGTCGTCGTGAACAATTTTTGCGCCTTTTTTGAGGCACTTAGTGAGAGGTTTCGTGAGTTGAGCGAAATTTGGAATAAATCGCCGATAATAGCCTAAGAGTCCTAAAAAGCTTTTTATTTGCCTATTAGTTTTTGGTATAGGGAAATTTTGTATTGCTGAGATTTTGTCGGGGTTAGGTTTCACGCCTTCAGGAGTTACTATATGTCCGAGGTATGCAACCTCTTTTCTTAGAAACTCGGATTTATCTAACTGAATTTTAAAGTTAGATTCGCGTAGTCGGGTAAAGACAGACCGTAGCCTTTCTAAGTGCTCTTGAAGAGACGTCGAAAATACGATAATGTCATCGAGGTAAACGAGACATTTTTCGTTTTGAATTCCTCGGAGGATGTTATCCATCACTCGTTGGAACGTGGCTGGTGAATTTTTAAGACCAAACGGCATTCTCAAAAATTCCCAATGGCCATTTTCGGTGTTAAATGCTGTTTTTTCAATGTCTTTCTCATCCATTTCTATTTGGTGAAAACCACTAGCAAGATCCAACGTACTGAAATAGTGGCATCTTCCTAGTTTGTCCAGCAGGTCGTTTATATTGGGAAGTGGATATTTGTCATCAATAGTCTTATCGTTAAGATTACGATAGTCTATTACGACGCGCCATTTCTGTTTGCCAGAGGCATCCATCTTCTTAGCCACAACCCAAATGGGCGAGCAATATGGCGAATTACTTTGCCTAATAATGTTCGATTTCAACATTTTTTGGATTTGGTCATTTACTTCTTGTCGGTGAACAAAGGGGTACCGGTAGGTCTTGGAATAAATTGGGATCTCATCAGTAGTTCGAATCCGATGTTTTATCTTGTTTGTGAAAGTTAGTGCGTCGCCTTCACGATAAAATATATCCGAAAATTCTTTGCAAAGTTTGAGGATTGCGGACTGTTCTTCTGAATTTAGGTGGTCTACTCTAATTTTGGAATAGTCTAGTTTATTTTCTGGAGAATCGTTGATATTATTAAGATCAAATTCTTGACAGATCGTCGGATGTATAGACTGGTAAAATGGTTCAACAGAAAGGGGTTCAGAAAAGTCGAGTGTAACGGTATCTGTCGTATTGTTCAGTAAGGTCGTCAAAGCATAACTATCTTTCGCAATAGTCAAGCATTCCGGTATTTCACAATTATGGATTTTTTGGTGGGGTATAATAATTTCGCCATCGCTTATGGATGTTTTAACTTTTATGACAAGCTCAGTGCGAGGTTCGATGGTAACAAAATTCAAATTATTCTTAGGTTTTTGATAAAGCAACTTGATTTTTGCATACGGTGTCACAAGAAACCCTTCTTGAAATAAGAGTCTTGCCTGTAATTCTTCTAAGTTATCCATACCGATCAAACCATTGAAAAAATCATGAAACTTGAACAAGTAAAATTTTAATTCCTTTAGATGAGGCAAATTGAAAATTTTGGATGCTGGTATTAAAGTACTGAATTTATGGGCAGATTTCTGAAATACAGTCGAAACAATGAATGGTTCATTTTTGATTTGTTGTGGAAAATATTTGAATGCGATGTCTGGATCTATAAATGACCTAGTAGACCCGCAGTCAATCAAAAGTTTTATGTCATATTCGGGAAAAACTATATAGCTCAATCCTTTTGTGTTGCTAGCATTGAACGATATAATTTCACTGTTTATGTCGGTTGAATAACCTGGCTGGCTGGGGGAAAATTTTCATTTCCTGACGTCGAGGTTGGGTTGGGCATGTCAAGTTCATTATTTTGATCGGTATTGTAATGATCGTATTGACAAATATTTTGGTTGGGGTCATCATAGAATTCATCGTAATTATTTTCGACGTTAGTAGCAAAATTGCCTGTATCATAAGTTTCATATGTTGCGTTATCATTTAACTCGGTGTTATACAGTTCCTCAAAGATAAAATTTTGCTGAGGTCGAGGTGTGTTCGCCGGAATTGGAGCGAATGGTGGACGTATTGTGTTTCTTGTGCTGACACTCATCGGTGTCGGCCTTGGAAGATTTCTTGGATTTGAAGAATTGGGCTTAAAAACGTTTGTATTCGGATTCTTTGTTTGTTGGTTGCCAAAGACTTCAGCGTTAGTCGGGAAACGCTGATTTAAGTTTGGCCTAGGTTGAATTTGGATGGGTTGAGATGGGAATTGCGCACGGAAAAAGCTATTAGGCGTACGAGAATTAAAATTTTGATAAGGCATATTAACTGGGCGTGCAGGTCTGAACTGCGAATTTTGAAAATTTGTAAAATTCTGTGAATCTGTCTTAACTCTATATGAAACGTTTTGGAAATAATGCACATTTTGTTCTTCAATCACTAATTGAAGAGCTTCGCTCAAGGAGGTTGGTTTCATGCACCTGACAGTGGTGCCCAATGGTTCTTTCAAGCCTGAAAGGAAAGTCTTTAACGCAAGTTTTTGATACAAATCGCGTTTTATTGCTTTACCACTTTCGGTAGCTTCGTGGATATTAACGTAGCTACACAGATTGTTTAAAATATGCAAACATCTTTCGTGAAATTTTTGAGGGCTCTCATTTTGATATTGCTTTAGTAAGCAAAGGTCTCTATGTAAGCACACTTCATCACGTTGGTCAGAAAAACTAGTAACTAATAAAGTTTCGAGTTCACTCCAGGTGTTCACTGAATGAATGTTTATTAAAGATTTGGCATGTCCTCTCAGCTTTGAAAGAATGGAGTTCAATAAAAATGTATTTTGAAAATTGTTTGGATTGGAATGATCATAAAAATAGTCAATCAAGGATTTGCTTACACGCAAAAATCGATTGAGATCGTTACTGTTGCCGTCAAATTCGGGCACACAACTTAAGTATTCGGGCCTAAAAGTAGCCATAGTTGTAGTAATACTTGTAGGTATTGAATGTACAGGGACTTGTGAAAGTATGGGCTCACGTAGTATATTAGAGTACCGTCGAGTATTTGGAGAGTCAGTATTAAGGTCCAAATTCTCAAGGGCTTGCGATATATCAATACTCATTGAAATTTGAAGCGATAAATGGAAAAAAATAAACTGCACTTACAACACTAAGAAAGCGATCTTTAGCATCTCTTACTCCTATAAAGATCCTAGCTGGTTCTGCAATGTTGTCTTCCCCAGGCTGGAATCCTTGTGAACTTGGGCAATGTGGTCCCAAATTCCGATGCCCTTCGTATGTAGCTGTTCACTCCGGTTCCTCGATGGATTGGGTATCCAAAAATATGAATCCACTCCAGTGCTCACTGCCACTACACGAATGCCACCAAGTCCAAAAGGCCGGATAGAGTCCCGAAAAGTCCCGTCGCGACGGTTTGCGAAAGTCTTTCCCGGGTCGCGTATTTCTGATCCTACTGGATTGACTGCGCCAGTTATAAGATCGATGCTTCGAGATCGCTTTTTAAAAAGTTTATTTTTCGAAAATACAAAACTCAAAACTGTACTTTTACAAAATTATTACAATGTTATTATGATGTAAACAGTACAAAGGCTTAAATCTGACTGACTGTAAAATGTGTTGAGAACAATAAAGTAAACTCTAGGTCTTCTAGGAAATTAGTAGCATCGTCGGCAGTATTCCTATCATATCAGCAGGAACGGCTGATATAACTCGTGCGACATGAGGTCGTGCATTGTCCTGCTGAAATAATCAGCGTATACTTCCATGATAGCAAAGTTTTTATCGAAATTCAATAAATAATTATGGGTGTTGCATTTTATATGTCACTTAGTATATGTTTTTCCTGTTAGTCATCATTTCAATACCTAGAAAGATTGGGATACATAATATTCGACACCTTACCTCCGCATAGTGTTCTTCGTTTTGCTGCAGAAGGTCAACGCAGAGTTCTGCAAGGTGTATTAAGTCATCTAATTTCTTGCTAGGGGATACCATTGTCTCACTTCTTAAGTCTTCTGTAAATTTATTATAGATTCAGTTGTAGAGCAAAAGGTTAATAATGTGTTATGGACTGTTTGGAATATTCGCACTTCGAACATTTGCCATTCTAGCTTGAGTGTGTTACGTCGTTGGTCTTCCAGAAAATTCGTGACTGTAGATGTAGAGTACGTTGGCGTTACCGCATTGTAAATTTTTTGTTATATACAATATGTTTGAGAATATGTGGTCGATCTTTCTGTTTCATACAGAAAAAATGTCGACCATTACTTACCATCTATTTTAGCTTCAGTGGATAACCGTGTATAATTCACTAACGCAGCAGTCTCTAAACATTTCTTAATCATTCCACGAACTTCTTCTGTAGGCACTGGTGTAACAATATCTTTCATTAAGACCCTTTCCAATAATGAAAGGGTCGCTTTTAAAGCACCTTCTGGTCTACCGAAAGGAAAACAAAATCTGTAAAACAGTAATCGTTTTAGAAAAGCTCAGCCACCATATTAGTTAATATCTACCTGAAATTAGTAATTTGATTTTCTAACAAGACTCGCAATCGCTCCTTCACGTCTTGGAACTTTTCTTTTTCCTCATGCGTAACACTTCCCACTCCATCTGGCCTAAGGTCACCACTAATGTTATCAATTTTGACATACTAGACCTCTATTTCATTTTAGGGTGTAAGAACAACTCAATTCTAATCATTTTCAGTTCAAAGATTCTTCATGTGGATTTTGGTGAACATAATGACATTGTTTGTTAAATTACTAGCCAGCACGTGATCAATAATGAAACACAAGTATCTAATTCAAAGTTATATTTGCCTGTTCAATATAAGGTAATGGCAGAAAACTTGAATGCAGATTCAACACATTAAAATATAGAAAAGTTCATATAAGCATAGGTTCATAAATGCTTCGTTTCCTATCCCTTACAGCACTGCTGTCCTGTCCCCCCTGGGTAACTCAGACCACGGTGTTGTGGAGGTTAGGTTTCGGTCAGAACCCGCTGTGGCAGCAGAAACTCGTACAGGCCGCAAAACTTGGCAATACGGACATGCCGACTGGGAGGGGCTCAGAGACTTCTTCTCTAGCTTTCCTTGGAGAGATGTATGTTTCACGGACGCGGATGCGGCGGCTGTCTGTTCTTCGATAACAGAAATTATCCATGTTGGAATGGAGGAATACATCCCTCACACAGTGAAAGTGCCTAAACCAGGGTCCAACGGCTGGTTTAACAAATCATGTGGCACTGCTGGCCAGCAGAAGATCAACGCACACAGAACCTTCTTACAAAACCCCACTGTAGAGAACAGACAAGCCGACGTCGAGTCCAGAAACAAATACATCGAAGCGGTTCGCAATGCCAAAAACCAGCACGATATAAAAGTTAGGCACAGGGTAATGACCGACCCTGACAACTACAGGCCTATAGCTCTGCTTTCTGTTATAAGTAAGGTGATGGAGAGGTGTATAAATTGCGAGCTTCTGGACTACCTCGAACGTCACAGCTTGATTAGCGACAGGCAGTATGGTTTCCGGCACCAACAATCCACAGGGGACCTCCTAGCTTACGTCACGCAATTGTGGAGTAAACTCATCCAGTCTTATGGTGAGGTTCATGTCGTTGATCTTGACATCATGAAAGCGTTCGATCAGCTGTGGCACGCTGCTCTCTTAAGCAAACTTCCATCCTATGGCCTCCCAGAAAAACTTAGCAGATGGGTGGCTGACTTTATCTCTGGCCGCAAGATATCCGTCGTAATTGACGGGTTCTCCTCTTCATCCCACAACGTCAACGCGGGTGTTCCCCAGGGATCGGTCTTGGCTCCGACACTGTTTCTTTAACATATCAACGACCTCCTTTCCGGCACGATCAACCCAATCCACAGCTTCGCTGATGACAGCACTCTAAATGCAGGAATTCAGAGTGACAAGCCAATCTCTGCTGCTGAGCTGGAAAAAAGAAGACGACGACTTCCTCTCTGACAAGAGATCTGGAGGCTATCACTGCTTGGTGACGCAACAATCTTGTACAGTTCAATGCTTCCAAAGCACAATACGACGAACAAAAAGCGTCCTAGCGCTCACCCGGTTTCGATGGATGGCCGAGTTCTGCCAAAGAGCTATTTATTTCGGCTGGTCGGAGTCCAGATCACCGAGGACCTGATCTGGCACGAACACATCTCGTCAATAGCTGCAGCTGCTGGGAAAAAGCCAGGCTATTTGTTTAGTGCTAAGAAGTACTTTTCTCCGCATGACCTTTCTCACTCTATACAAGGCCCAGATAAGGCAGTAATGCTCACACGGTTGGGGTGCTGCCGCCCCGACTACATTATCCATGCTCGATGCTGTCCAGAGGAGGGCTGTCCGACTGATCGATGACTCTTCTCTAACAGACAGTCTCGGGACTCTTTTGCACCGGCGGGCCGTTGGCGATCTAGCTCTTTTCTATCGCTACACCAACGGGCTTTGCTCCTCAGAGCTCTCTTCCATGATGCCGCCGCGCGATGTACCTGCCAGACAGACCCGCCTGACTTTGGCGTCCCATCCTAACCGTGTTGAACTTCGTACATCCAGAACTGGCCGATACGACCGCTCCTTTGTCCCGAGGGTGTCGAGATTGTGGAACAATCTACAAGAGGAAGTTTTTCCCAGTTCTACTAACCGTAGGCAGTTCAAAAATCGTATTGACAAAATTTTTTTGGGATCATCATAGCAGTCGCGGTGTTCCGGTATCATGTATAATAAAAAAAAAAACATTTGCATCCAAAACGATTAAGGTTTGTAAATAGTTAGATTAATGCTTCATGGGGTGACTAATTTCCAAATGTGATGGATGTAATATTTGTAAGCAAAATGTAGCGTAGTTAATCAGAAAACCACGCTAAAATTGGGAACGCATTTTTTGACGAATTATAGCCGAATATGAAATCTGATAAGAGTTGAGCTGTTCTTGGGAATGAGGGATGAACTGATTGATACTAACCTATTTCCATGTACGTGGCTGGCACAAAATGCAAAACTATAATGAATTAGGGTAGGATCTATCATAATGTTCTTTTCTGCTCTATCTAGTAGATCAGAAAGGTAGCACAAGTGTCGATAACATCCTCTCACACCGTACCTCGCGCAATATTCATCTAACACAAAAACTTGACCGGGGCTAAACCAACCCTGAAAAAATAAAGGCAACGGTGAAGATATGTCTCACATATAAAAAAGCTTAGACGATCGTCACAAAAACGTATCATTGCTACTTACCAGTGAACAATAAGGATCGTTCAACCTATACTCCAAAGTAAGATTCTGCAAGAGTTTAAATAATGAAGCGTGATCAAACTGACAAGGATCTGCTGAGATGAAGTCTTCCATTCCATGTTTTCTTGCGCGGTCCGCATCTACAAAGTTGAGTATTTTTATTATTGGAAGAGCATAATTCAGGGTTTGGGTCGCGTTTATCCATTTTGTGTGCTTGTTGGACTAGTGGGAATTTATAGGATGTCCAAAGAGTAGCTATAGCAAAAGAGTACACTGCGTGGAATGCCTTTGAAATCCACCGGTCGGCATCATTGACCTTGGGTTTGACCTGCATTACTGGTTTACAACAAAACGTGATCTAGGAGCCCTTGGCTTGGCGTCTTGACATCTATCAAGGAACCGCCCTTAGTTTAGCTCAGAGGTGACTCGGCATCTATCTCTACCTATCTATCGAGCAAGCGGCCATACAGTGTTGCCACACTGAAAACAATGTTTAGAAACTGCTACATTTGCGCTGAACTGAGTAAACTAAGTAAGCAGATGTACCACTTGCGAAGCTGAACTTCCCTAGAGGAGTTGCATACTACTATGCAAGTCGAACTTTAACGGGACTGCTACTCGCTTCTTGTACACATACATGAATTCTGAAACAGAGAGGTGCATAGTTTTCATTCACTTTTTGAATATAAGCCAAAAAATTAACACATACTGTTGATATTGTAGTTGTATCTTCCGGCACTGCATTTTTATATCGGAGATCAACTAAAGGTAAACTTGAATTGTACGCCCATGGCAGGCAGCTTGTCGTACTGACTGTGGAAGATTCATACGTTGACGAAACGAAACTGGAAAACCTATGTCAGAGAGCTTAGACAAACATGTGTCCCACCAAAAGCCGTGGAACGACCTAATAAAAATTGTCTTATTGTTGCATATCCCCTATACCCATTTTCCAAAATATGATGCGTACGCAGCACGCGTTTTGACGAACGCATTTACTAAATTATGAATGGCAGATCTAATGACTAATTAAACTTGTAATTACACTATTTACAATAGGATCCATTCATTAACGTGAAATGATACCAGAGTATTGGCTATCTTATGTGATTGCTGTGATTGGTAAATTTGCATAAATATTTTGCACGGACAGTGTTGCAGAACCTACCGATTTTTCGATATTCCTAACGAAATGAGAGCGTATTTACAGAAAACCGAAAACATCTCAATTTTCCACGATTAATTAGAACAGTTTTTACCAAAAAACAGCTGGATCCAAAGTAAAGCTAAAAAAATTATATAATAATAATAATAATAATAATAATAATGCCTTTATTAGTTGTAGTCTATATAATTTTATGCCCCATACCAATCATACATGCGGATGTCCTAAAACTAAGCCCCGAGATTGATAGCTTCCACCAGCTATCCTATTGGATAGTGAGCTTGAATTTGACCTTTAAGGTAATTTGAAGGACAAGTCGATTTTTTTAAATGAAATCCTCCATTTTGATCCTATAAATGGAAAGAGCGGAAATTTTCATGTTCAAGCATGTCTTGACTATTCTTAAATTTTGATCTTAGGTGGTCATGGTTAAGATCAAACCTCGTTATGGTGACATAACTTGAAAACCATTAGTTGTATAGGGAAATTTTCGAGACATTATTTTCATGATTTTTCCCTGGATATCCAACAGTGACCTTAGATCTGACCTTAACCATGATGACCTTCATGGTCATGTGAAGGAGAAGTCACTTTTTGTAGCCAGGGAACAATCCTGAAGGAACAGTGAAGTTCAGTTTATCTAAAGTTTTCTGAATTATCAGGAAATTAAGGTCAGCTTATGTTTGACTTTGATGGTCAAGTCCAAGGTCAAGTTTCAAAAATGGTCAACGACATATAATTTTCACTTTTCTCCATTTCCGTGGTCAAAAGTATAGGGCCTCAGTAGAAAAAGGAGTTGACTTTGCAAATGACCTTGAAGGTAATCGCCAAGGTGAGATCCAATAGATATCCGGGGAAAAATCATAAAATGTCTGAGTAGTTTTCCTACACGACTACTGGCTTTCAAGTTATATCTTAGTACCTGGATGGTTTGACCATGACCTCCTAAGGTCAAAATTTAAGAATAGTCAAGACCATATTTGGACGTAGAATTTTCTGTTGTTTTCATTTACGGGATCAAAAATGGTGGTTTCATTTAAAAAAATCGACGTGACCTTAAAATGACCTTGAAGGTCATGGTCAAGGTCAAATCCAAAGTCACTATTGGATAACTGGAGAAAACTCTTATTAATAGCGAGTCCTAGTTTTTCCTACCATTATTAGTTGACAAATTATCGTGGGTTCCCGGAACTTTTGTATGGATAGACACACGAGAGACGTGAATTGGATTGCCTATGATTATATACGCACAGCACTTACTGTTTTCGTGCATAAACGTAAAATTTCGGGTGATCAGGTTTAAAGTTTAGGCGTAAAATAGATAAATATTCCCAATCTTATAAACAAGAGTGGGAAAACTAATTTTCACGATGCTTGCAAAGGCATTTGAAGAGCAACAAGTATGTCCATTGTACAAGGAGCCCTCAAAAAACGTGTTGTGTGCACAATTCAAAAACGTATTTTTTTTCGTAGATGGCGCTGTGTAACGCAAAGGCCCTCGATCCACCGCTGATTTTGCAACGGCCATGATTCTTTCCTCTTACTGCTTTTGTCCTTGAAACTACTGAATGTCAACGGCACTACCTACCGACTACCTCTTTTTCGGTTCAGCAACACTGCGTATCACGTACACAATCAATGAAAAATATATATCATCGATTGGAAATGGACAACGGATTCAGCTAAAAAGGAGTATCTAGCTGGAAACACCACATACATTCCTCGTCAGATAACAACGCGTGGTTAGACTCCATCAGCCGTTTTGTGGATGCCATATTTTTGGTTTGAGCAGTCTACCTCTGTAATTTATCCGTCTTGTCTGTTTTCTCTTGGTATAACTACTCTTTGTTTATGTCCATACCTCTCGAGATGGTCGAATTTTTGTCCTGTAAGGTGACAGGAGGGGTAGGTTTGTGAGATTGTCCAGTAGCTCTGTACATTGCCATCACCCATAGATGGCACTCATTCTCATCGTCACTAGCGAAGATGATACTATCTCCCTCCCTAACAGCATTAAAAAAGTGTCTACCACCTTCCAAGTCTGGAAATATATTAATAACGTACAATGTTGTATTTCTACACTTAAGTTCAGAGGCAACTTACGCTTACCCGTTCCCACCATCAAGTTTGCTTCAATATAGGATTCATGTTAGTACAGGTTTTCCAGCAGCTTGCCCCAAGTCACAAAAGTAGTCACCAAAACGTCAGTCTATTCGATTTTTGCAATTAAAGAGAAAAGAGGAGAAACTTAAGTTAGTTATTATAAAATGTATACCGTTATGTCAGCCTGCTAGATGGACTTGCCAGGCTTCCATCCTAACTCTATCGAACTTCCAGTCAACTTAACAGTCACCGTGCCCAGGTATTTAGGTTCCAGCCTAGGCGGCTGCATCAGTATAAAAAAGGGCGTTGCTTAATCTCAATCAGATAATCTTAAATTTTTGCTTTATCACTGCTTTTTTGCCGCACATTAGCTTTGACATTTCAAACGTAGGTGTTTCTGAGAAGAAAAGCTCCAACTTGTATTAATTTCTTTTAATGGCTGGATAATGGACAAGTTTACCATTTTTTTATTATTAACTCAAATGCAATTTTAAGAAAAATGAAACAAGATGGTGAAAAAATTAAAAATTTATCTCTAAAAACAAAAAAGTTACAGCATATCAAAGTTGCGCCCCGCGAGAATATTTTTATTTCGTCTGAATGCGACGCGTGACGTCACACTTCAGAGTGACTAATTACTGAACGCAAAGACGCTGTCGGCACGCTCGGCACTAGTGAAGTGTGACGTCAGACGCGACGTGACGGCAGCAATGATTTCGCGCTATAATGCGCCAAATTTAAGTATTAATTTCTCGGTTATTTATTGACCGATTTTAATAATTTTTTCACTGGTTGATTATATATCATCTATATTTTGCTGGTATGTCATTACTTATGCGATTCTGAACATCGCGAAACTTCTTCATTACTGAACTTTTACTGAGTGTCGGTGACTTCTTTTGCTGCATGGGGTCATAATCAAGAGGTCTTACCACTTGAAGCTTCAATATAATCGACCGTGTAACCATCTAGTTGCATCATTTCTGAGGGTTCTGACTTCTTTTCTTTATAACTGCACATCGCGAACGTGTATTGAGAAACTTGGACCAGAACGTAGTATCTCTTCTTCCATTTCTTCCAAACGCTTTTCCCGATTGCATATAGGCAGCCACAATGTTTCATGTTCAAAGGTTTATCCATTCTACATGCTATTTTGATTCTCAGATCTTGATCCGGCAGGTTTTTAGGTACTGTCATTTTATGCCACTCTGGTGCCTAAACAATTTTTTTACACTTTAGGATTTTGGTTTTATCGTACGTACGATCTTTGTCCATGAAGACATTGTGTTAAAACTAGCAAAGACAATGCAAGGAAAACGGAACATTTTTTCTGTGGACGCTTTAAGGCTATAGGCGAAACTACATATGAAAATTGTCCTCAAAAGCATCCAAATCCTGTAGAATTCAACTGGAGGTACATTGGGTGAAATCACCATAGCCAATTTTTCAGATCGATATATCGCCCCGAGGCGCCCCCATCCTCAAAAACCTGTTTTCTGATAACATTTTTTCGGGCGCAATTTCGTAAAAATTGTGATTTTTTATAGATTTGTGGAACTTATAATTTTGAATTTTTTTTGCAGACTTAGAACGTCACTTTATATCAGTGCTTTCTTGCGTTTTTTTCAGATCAACTAACAAAATCATGAATTTTAGCCCAGAAAATCGCTAAAAAACGGAAAAACCGCATTTTTACCGGCTAACTCAAGGACTCATCCCACATTCTTTTGAATTTTTTCACTTTCCATATTCAAAATTGTGAAGTGTTTCTTATGAAAAGCAGGATTTTCACATATTTTACGTTTTATGACAAAATTGAACCTTTTTTTTCAGGTTCTACAAATCTATATAAAATCACACATATGTACCTAGACTGTAACAATGCAGCTTTTGTGATTTTTTAAAAATTTTCCGAGCAAAACTGCGCCCGTAAAAAGATATTGTCGAAAAAACACGTGTTTGAGATTAGGGGCTACTAGGGGCGCTCTGTCGATTTTAAAAAAATTTCTATGGCGACTTCCCCCAATGTGCCTCAAGTTAGATTACCAAATCAGCATAAAGTTTCAAATTTTTGGTGTTTGTAACAGCCATTCTCCAATGGTGGCTGTTAGCGTTCCGCCAAGTTGATAGACTTCTTGAATTCCTTTAATTCTTGTTTATTTAACATGCAACAAGTTGGTGAGGGCTACCAATTTTTTTGCTAATAGATCATACTATCCGAACGCAACCCAGTGAAAACTATTGTTCACGCTTAGAAGTAGTCAAACATACTTATTGGAAACCCAAAAATTGCAGGAAAATCTAGTGCACCATCGCAAAACTACTCTAATCACTCCCTGTCCTATAGTAAAATTAATTGTACGAGAAAATGATGATAATTGAAAAATAAATAAGGAATAATTCTATGAGAATTAATATTTACTGAAGCTATTGGATACAAAAAAATGTCGGATATACCCAGAACTACCTCAAATAGGGGGTAAAAAGAACGTGAAAATGCATCTTTACGTTTTTCCAAGACATGTAAGTGCTGTCTGCAGGTCTGTCCACTAACCTTATTACCGTCTATAACTTGAGAAGTACCACTTGGATAAATTTTGTACACAATGTTACTACTATTTCAAGCTTTGTAGTTTTTGAAAATCGGTCCAGTGGTGGCGGAGAAAAGGACCAAAAACAAAACAAAATAAATATCGCTCAAACTTCATTTTCAGAAACATTTTTATAGGGTTTGAAATGTGGGGGTTCAAGAGGGTTTTGGAAGGGTATATGATCTTTTTTATCTTAGTATATTTATACGTTCCCAACCCCGGTAATTCTTTGCAGTTATTAGAAAGTATTCCACACATAATACATTTATTCGTACATTTGCGTGTACTCGTACCTATCAAGGCGAACCGCTTGGGAAAGGTTCCGGCCAATATACAGGGTGTGTCCGGAAAGTAATAGGACTCAGTTTCTTCCGCCATGACTGTACTTCCTAGCTAACGAATGAGCGGCTGGTCAGTTGTCTCCGAGCACTTGGAGAGTGAGGACAGGCATTTTCGCACGACGTGTTTCTGTGAGTGGTGCAAGCCGAAAATGCAGCGTTCGTTAGAGCAGAGGTACGCGATTAAATTCTGTGTGAAACTCGGTAAATCTGCGACAGAGACGTTTGATATGATCAAGCAGGCTTACCCAGGTGTTGCTTTAGCAAGAAGTGGTGTATTTCGGTTTTGAACTCAAACCGTCGACTAAGTATTCGTTTAATTGCCCAGATGTTTAATTTACCAAAATCTGTGTTTCATGACATTGTGACACAGCATTTGAACATTCGCAAGGTGTGCGCGAAGATGGTCCCAAAAGTGCTCACTGACGACCAGGAATTGCGGCCAGTGGAAGTGTGCCAAAAAAATTTGAACATGCGTGAAAGTGACCCCCAATTTTTGAATAACGTAATCACAGGTGACGAGTCGTGGATCTTTGAGTATTACCCCGAAACAAAGAGGCAATCTTCCGAGTGGCACACGACGGCGACTCCTCGCCCAAAAAAGAGAAGAATGAGCAAATCTAAAGTGAAAACGATGCTCATTGTCTTTTTTGACATCAAAGGCATCGTCCACCACGAATTAGTTCCTCCTGGACAAACCGTCAACGCCAAGTTTTACGAGGGATACTCAAACGAAGGGTCAGTCGGGTCCGACAAGACATCGCAGCCGACTGGAAGTTGCACCACGACAACGCCCTGGCTCACACCGCCTTTCTTGTGAACAGCTACCTGACCAAGGCCGGCATCCCAACGCTTCCGCAGCCGCAATACAGCCCAGATGTGGCCCCCCCGGACTTTTTTGTTTCCTCGCCTGAAAAGGCCGATGAAAGGCAAGCATTTTGAGACGACAGAGGTGATCCAAGCAGCATGCACCGCGGCTCTCAAGGCTATTCCGGAGAATGCATCGACGCAGAAGGAGCCTATTTTGAAAGTTTTTAAAGAATTGTAACGATTAGCTCATTACATTTTTTTAAATCGACTCTGTCCTATTACTTTCCGGACAAACCCTGTATGTACTCGTACTGAAGCCCAAAAAACATACCTAGCTTGCACGAACCGAAAGTTAACTTGCTGCAGAGATGCCGCGCAGACGCGGAAAGAGACAACGTTGCCACATGGTCGGTAACTACCAGTAGTAATGTCGTAATGTCGACAGTATTCGATTTTCGCCCCATTTTCTAGCTATTGAAGACCCTGACGTGATAGGAATACTTGTAGAACAGTAGCGTTCTATGGAGAAATCTGATAAGCTAACCCTAAAAAGCAGAAAACCACAAGCAGGCCCAACTTGACCTACTCAGGACATATATGTTGGCCTACTTGTGGATTTCTTCCTTATGGGTAGTTTATTAGTTTTCTTCAAAGTACCCCACTTTTATACACGTATTCCAATCATATACAAGTCAAACGGAATTGTTTCCAATAGGTAGGAAATGTTCCGGAAGTAGGCGAAAATCGATAGGTTTTCAATATTTCGATTAGAGATTTCTGTGTATTTAAAAAACAATCCCAACAGACTTTTTTATAGTTTGAGAGTTGTGCAATGTCAGTTTATAATCTTTTCAGCTTTTGTTTATATCTACATATTATTTCGTCGTTAATTTTCTTAAATAAAGTTGCGAATGTCTTAAAACGTGAATATGCGTTTTTCACGTATTTCTAGCCACTCTTCGAGGTAGCTGTGTATACAGTGTGAGTCTTCATAAAGTGCACATATCAAAATCACGGATACTACACTCTATTTCATCGACGGATAAATAGTCAAAAAAACATGAATTTGATTTTTTTTGAATATATGAATATTTTAAAATTTTTAGTAGCAGCTTCTAACCATATTGGAATAACTCGTTACAACTTTTAAACTAAATGTCCTATCATATTGGAATACATTTTGTAGTGATTGCTGGTAAAAGGACGTGCCTGAAAGGTGAAGAATTCCAGGAAAATGACATCCATTTAGAATAAAGAAAATTTTGATGACAATCTGTTTTTTTTTATCATCGTTAAATATCGTCCCTTGTACCCTACCTTTTTTTATTTGTAAGTTATTCTACATGTTATCAGCTTTATAAAAGTAAAAATTGCACGTTTATTACTCAAATGTAACAGTTTCTATGAGTGTTTATAAAAAAGCCCATGCGCATCGTCTTGCTAGGCACCATTGTTTATCATGTAGATACCTTTTTTTGGTAATTCAATGTAGAGTCGCGCGGGATGAAGTACGAGTGGGGAGGCGGACCCAGTTGAAAAACAATTGAATGTTGGGCAGTTAAGCAGCTATTTGTGTTTTTCCTGCCAACTTTATCAGTTTCGTTTGCTACATATCACGCTTTCGCTTTTTGCTCGCGATGCCACGTATAAGTGATTTCCCTCCGGCACACATTGCCGATATCCATTATTATTATGGAATGTACCGAGGGAGTGCTGGAGCTGCTTGCACAGCTTATCTAGCTGCATTTCCAAATCGACGCCCTGTTCCATCAGCCCGTAACTTCCAAGAAGTACATAGAAGACTGGCTAACACTGGACTTGGTTTGCCTCGAGATCGCCGCGAACCAGGTGTTATTATTCATATTGCTATCGAAGAAGCCATTTTGGATGATTTGTTTGCTGACCCGACTACTAGTACGAGACGTTTGGCGTTACGTCATGGCGTATCCCAGAAATCGGATTGGCGCATCTTGAGGAAAGCAGGATTGCATCCATACCATTATACCATTATCAAAGGGTGCAGCACTTGCATGAAGATGTGGATTGGCGTCCAAGGTGCGTTATGTCTACATGGATTTTAATAAAAACAAGAGACAATCCTGAATTCCCGAAAACAATTCTGTGGACAGATGAATCTCAATTCACGAGAGACGGCTTCGTGAACTGTCGTAATTTACATAAGTGGTGCCCAAAAGATGAAAACCCTAGGCTGAAAAGGGCATCAACATTTCAAGTGAAATTTTCTGTAAATGTGTGGGCCGCACTGATTAACAACTTTTTGATTGGTCCGATAATACTTCCGAGGACCTTAAACGGAGAGAGATTTCTGGAGCTTTTGCAGACTGAACTGCCCTTGCTGTTGGAAGAAGTGCCGCTGCAAACCCGTCGAAGAATGATGCTTCAAATGGATGGATGTCCTGCCCATTACTCGCTGATTGTCAGGTCTTTTCTTAATGAAAATTATCCAGGCCGCTGGATCGGTCGACAAGGACCTGTTGGGTGGCCGGCGCGTTCCAAAGATCTCACACCTCTCGACTATTTTTTATGGGGGACAATGAAAGAAAGGGTGTACAGCAGTTCCATAAACAGCGAAGCGGAACTTGAAGAAAGAGTTTTGCGTGTTGCAAACGAAATCCAAAATGATCCCGAGATGATTCGTAGGGCAACTCATCAAATTTCACTTCGCGCTACAATGTGTTTGCAGCAACGGGGTGGCCGTTTTGAACATTTGATGCATTAAGCCAAAATGATTATCCTATAGACAAGTCTATTTGATTTTATTTGTTAAATATAATGAATGATTCATGTAGGTTAATACTGTTGTTTTATTCCTACTCTGGCGTTGAACTGAGTTCACTGCTTTTTGAAACGCTGATTCAAAAACTTGTATCTAAGTAATAAACTTGCAATTTTTCACCATTAGGAAGCTAATAACATGTAGAATAACTTAACATTAAAAAAAGCTAGGGCAAATAGGACAATTTTTATTGAAATTTAGCAATTGTTTTAAAAATCATTGAAAAAATAGTGAGATTCAGCATATTCCTCTCTATTTTAAATTTATAGCATTTAATTTCGTGGAAATTTTCACTTTACTGGTACGGCCTATTTTATTTGCAATCACTACAAAATTTATTCCAATATGATAGGACATTCAGTTTAAAAGTTGTAACGATTTATTTAAATAGGGTTAGCAGCTGACTCTAAAAATTTTAAAACATTCATAAAAAATCAATTATTGTTTTTAATTTTTTTTGATAATTTTTCCGTCGATAAAATAAGGTGTAGTTTCCTTGATTTTGCTATGTGCACTTTATGAAGACTCACACTGTATATATTTGTTTTTTTCTGTATTGAATGGCTTCAGAAAATATTAGTTTATCTTTGAATTATCAGCATTTGCATTTTATCATTCGATTGAGGATGACTAGTATACTTAGGGGAATTTGCAGTAAATTTCACACACCCTTTCGGATTCCCAATGAGTTCTTTGACTACTTTTAAACATAAATAATCATTTTCACTACATTGGTTCGTTCTCAGAGGGTCAGAAAAACGCCTATTTTCAAAATTGTCCTTTGCTATAGCTGTACTGAATCCGTCTTTGCTACTTTTCCATAGAAACGGTTGTAATTTTCACCATAAGTTTCTGTGGATAGACGTCAACGATAAATTTCGAATCATTCGTATTCTGAAACTGACGATCGCCATAGCACCCAGATCCGTTAGAACTACTGAACAATGTCTTTATGAACATACATTTTGTGTGGTTGAGGGTAGATACAATTCTTACAGTACGAATTGTTTTTTTTTGTTTTGTTGAGATAAAGAGTGCTTTTCACAAAACCGCACCGTTACTTATTTTTTGAACATTATGATTGCAAGCTAAAATTCGAGATTTTCAAATGAATATTACTACATTAATAATTTATTTTAATGACAATTAAAAATGCGAAGATGGCAGCCGGACGTCATCTTTGGACACTTTTTAAATGGAATGTGGAGTCATGTGATACCCCATTTATCCGAACTTTAAAATGGCGGTGGTTGGCTATTGAGTTACGATTATAAGCGCTTTAATGTACAAAAACGCTCAACTTTGGTAATCTGCCAGCCCGCCATTTTGAAATATAGTGTTTTTTACTTAGTTCCAAAATGAGGTATCACGTGACTCCCTATTCGATTTAAAATACAGCGCGCAGCCGCCATTTTGCAATTTCCATTTTTACGTTAAAATATAGTGGTATTCACGCATCAGTAGGGGAAGAGGTTGGAAAAGCACTGTATACGTCAAATAAAGTATTTTGAAGTTTCATTGCATCTACTATCAAGAAGTTTTATTATATCCTTACTACCTCTTATGTGATGTTGTGTAGTGCTGGAAGCTATGTGCTAAAGAAACCCTAACTGAAAAAGTGTATGCTGTTAAATACTTTTTACTAAGTTAAAAATATAACCTGAAAATATATGGAAAAACTGTCAGCCAAAATAGTTTAGGTGTTGAAATTTTGATTACATTGTCTAATTCCATTAGTACGCTTATATAAATTTGTTTTAATGCTTTGTATACATTTTTTATAGAAATAATGAGAATTTGCGTCATTTCTTATATACAAAGCACAATTCACTGGCTACCAGTTTAGTTTAGTAGTAAAAATTAGTATATTGATATTGCTGTGTAAATATGTATGTATTAGAGAAAAGCTAGCCAATCGTAAAGAAAGCTAAAACATAGAGGTGTTATTTAATAATTATCGCATCTTACTAACAATAAGGTTCTACAGAATTCGTGTACACATATTTTAGCTTTCTTCATAATACATCTTTGAAAACTGACAAAACAGTTTCCGAAGGTATATTTATTATCTATGCACACCAATATCTTGACAAAATAGTACATCTAGTGACTAGTACTGTCCAGAAACATCAAAATATTGTTATGTTATTTAGGAAGTAGTGGAGCCTCATCTTATTCCAAACCTAAACACTATTCAAAATCCGATTTTCCAGCAAGACAATGCCAGACCGCATGTTGCCAGAGCATCGTTAGCCTTCATGGATCAACATCGTAACAACCGTTTACCTTGGCCACCACGATCGCCTGACCTATCTCCAATTGAACATGTCTGGGACATGATAGGTTGCAGGTTCTTGAATTTGCAATACCTTCCACAGACTTTAGCAGCTCTTACTCATGAAGTTGCAGTAGCCGGGAATGAGATTCCCCAATAGGATATCGACCACCTTTATCAGCATTATGCTCAGGCGTGTCAAAGAGTGTTTAAGAAATCGTGGATCCTCGACACATTATCGAACCAGCTTCTGCAGTCAGTTGACGAATCAAGCTGAAAATTTAATCATTTTACTAGTAAGGGACACTGAACATATAAGCCAAAATTTATTAAAATCGGAACATACGTAGGCGTTTACCTTTTTCTGTCACTCAGTAAATATAGTCACTAAATATACTTGGACATAGACTAATACAAACTATAAACTAACAACAACCACCTTAGTAATTCGAAAATTTCAGATACTGACTTACTTTAGATGATAACGGGGTGGGTTTGAGGAGAACCTTTCCAAGTTCTTTATCTTCCAAAGCCAGCATACCAGGATTTTCAGTATATAACTTAACTTTAACATAAGGCAAAGGGTGTGTCGTGCAAAAATCACCCTGTGTGTCCCACATTGGCTTGGAAGCTTCGGCTTGGTCAGTTTGTAACTTTTCACCATTCTCAACTTCCATAGTGCAGTACACTATGCGATTGGGTGCTAGTGATTTTAAACCTCGCACCTCCATAACTATCACCTGGAACGGAATGAACAAAGGAGATGGTATTTTGGTTTAATGTTGACTTACAGTTTTGGTGTTGAAACTAAGTATCTCCATGAAACTTATTGAATAACTCCATTAGACATTTTGTACAAGCTTATTATACAAGGTGATCCCGGAACGTGGGAATATGCATCTGGTATGGTGAAAGTAAAATATTAGTGGTTGAGGATTTTGTCCTGGCTATTCAACAGCGACCTTGAATTGACCTTGGATTATATGTGATGATGGATCTTTTGGCGTAGTTTTTTAATACCCGACACATGTGTGGGAAAAGCCCCCTCATGTAGATTGTTACACAATCTCGAAAATCTAGGGACAAAGAAGCGGTCTTATCAACCAGTTCTAGATGTACTGTTCCTAGACTGTTTGTTAAAGAAGAGTCATCGATCAGTCGGACAGCCCTCCTCTGAACAGCATCGAACATGGATAATGTAGTTGGGGCAGCTGCTCCCCAAATACTCAGGGCTAGGTCTTACATGGGCCTTGTAAATTGAGGAGGTCATGAGGAGAAAATTACTTCTTAGCCATAAACAAATAACCTAGCCTTTTCTCAGCAGCTGCCGCTATTGACGAGATGTGTTCATGCCAGATCAAGTCCTCGGTGATCTGGACCAGCCGAAGTGAACGGCTCTTTGGCAGAACTCGGCCATCCATCGAAACCGGAAGAGTGCTAGGACGCTTTTTGTTCGTCAAGGTACAGCACTGTGCTTCGGAAGCATCAAACTATACAAAATTGTCGCGTCCCCAAGCAGTGATTACATCCAGGTCTCTCGTCAGAGAGGAAGTCGCTGCTTTCCAATAATATAACAGTTTGGCCTTGAGGTCCCAAAGCAGAACATCTGCGTGCTAGAGATCCAACAACAAACCATGAGAAAAACCTGGATAAAAAACTCATGATCCATCAGTTAGGTTGGGGAATATCAATTAGATCTTTCCTTCAAGGATATTCAACCAAAGTGGGCCACAGTCCACAAAAGAACTAGGAAGGCAATTCAATTTCATATAGGCTGATTTCTTTCTTACTTTTGTAATTGTTATCCTCTCCATTTTACCCTATGTCTTGTTTCCCATACATGTTCGCTTAGTGCCGGTTTTGAGGATAAGTTTCAGATCTGTAGTAGTATGTCAATTCAAGGGCAATACGATTTTCTTAAATGGGACCCTATACTTTTGACCTCGGAAATAGACAGATCCCAAAATTATATTTTACAAGACACATTTGGCTCAATATCGTTATTTTTAGGAGTTTAACTTAGGATTTCTTTTTGGTGCGTTCACCCTATATATATATATAGTAGATATAGGTGAAAAATTAAAGCTTCCGCCTTTTGTTGGGTACTTCGACAAAATTTAAGCAAAGAGGACTCTTTATACTTTTTTATTCTCTCTAGCTTTCAATGGACTTTGCCATCATCATCAAGAGAGTGGTATGTGTAATTGCAATCATCAAGTGGCTTCACGATGTAATGCTTTCTTGTTCTAAAAAATTTTTAATCTGTTTTTAACTTGTTCTTCTCACATTTGTGTGTATTTTATATAATTTTGTCCATTGTACCATCTATCCAGCTTTCCCCATGTTACTGGGTGTTTCGCTCATCCTGAACGTTAACAACAATTAGCAACATCCTCACATACACTCTTATAACTTAAACTCGAGCTTTCGAAGATCTATGTCTTCATCGTCTGGAGCTGGAAACAATTATTGACAATAGCAACAATTAACAATTAGGAGGAAAAATAGTTACTAAGTCGGCGAGATTGTTGCTGAAATTGTTCTCAAACAACAGTGAAGGGAACACACTATTTTTCCTCCTAATTTTTAATTGTTGCTATTGTCAATAATTGTTTCCAGACGATGAAGACATAGATCTTCGAAAGCTCGAGTTTAAGTTATTATAAGAGTGCACTTTTCCAATACTTTGCCTTCCACCCAAAGAAATTCAAGGATATATATATATATACAGGGTGACTTTGAAGTTGAGTCATTAATTTTCAGATAATGATTGTAGAAGGAAGATAAACCAAAATATGTGTGTAAAAATAAAAAAAAATTAAAACAAAAATTTTACCTTGTTTTATAAAGTATCCTCCCGACAAGTATTTCAGTGCGGACCTGTATTTGATCGTGAGGTCTTGGAGCACCGGCATGCAGTCCCCTGTGTGGTCTTAGGTCACCTGATTCACGAGCCCGTTGTACTACATTAACAAAGGCACGAGGGGTTGGTTGCACTCGATTGGGAAACCGATCCGCATAAACATGTGCCATTTTTTATTTCGTTTGAGCCACGCAACAGATACCACTATTCACTGACACTGACTGTATACAAATGAATGAAATAATTGTAAAAACATCGTTCCAAATTCTTTCGCTTTTTTGTTTCCGATGCGATGAACCGATACGGCGGATTATATCCGTTGTCGCCAAACACGAGCAGAAAAAAAGAATTTGGAACGATGTTTTTACAATTATTTAATTCATTTGTATACAGTCAGTGTCAGTGAATAGTGGTATCTGTTGCGTGGCTCAAACGAAATAAAAAATGGCACATGTTTATGCGGATCGGTTTCCCAATCGAGTGCAACCAACCCCTCGTGCCTTTGTTAATGTAGTACAACGGGCTCGTGAATCGGGTGACTTAAGACCTCACAGGGGACCTCACGATCAAATACAGGTCCACACTGAAATACTTGTCGGGAGGATACTTTATAAAACAAGGTAAACATTTTTTTTAATTTTTTTTTATTTTTACACACATATTTTGGTTTATCTTCCTTCTACAATCATTATCTGAAAATTAATGACTCAACTTCAAAGTCACCCTGTATATATATATATAGAAACATTTATTTCTTGAAATGTTATGCCTTTACCTAGCTAGATGTTCCAATCGGTCACCTTGTATATGTCTTTATTGTCAGTATCACGATTTAACAAGATATATAGGCTTCATAGGATAACTTAGTTTCGGGTAAAGTTTAGCAGTTATAATGTGTAAGCTATATGGTTTTTTATTTAGCGACCGTACTTGAAACCGAAGGTTCATTTTTGAAAATCGTTTTTAGTCAAAGAGTTAATGTCTACCTTGAACTTTATGGCAATATATTTATTTTATGAATGAGATAGATATTGTATTGAAATGATGTATTTCAAGTACGGTTATGTCAAATGCGTCATCTAAGATGTTGTGTATGTGTGGCAATATTTGATGTTTTTCATTTCGGTTGCTGATTTTTCAAAAAAAAGATATGTTCTTGTATTTTGGATGAATCACGTGTGATGTGATGTTTGTAAGTATTAAAAACTCTACCTGTATCAGTAGATGCCTGTCATGTCAAAATGACGTCGCGTATTGAAATTTCCCTTTTGACAGTTGCTATCGCTAGGATTTTTTATTGAGAAAACATTTGCAATAGAAAAACAGGATGAGGATAATACGAACATAGGAAAGATCCTGATATAGTGTTGTTATATAGTTTTTGTTTTTATGACTACTGAATCGATTAAAAACACAGCTGCTCCATAGAAAGGTACTTCAAATTTAATGATTGAAATGAAATCTATTTTATAACGGAAGTAATGGACAAACGTGTAAATAAAGGATCAATAATAATCCAAGGTCGGCAGAAAAAGCCACTTCGGACAAATCCATATAGAATTTCATGAATCTAGGCAAAAAAAACAGATAGTCTGGGTGTTCATTTGAGAACTTCCCACCACGGATTTATAGAAAACCACTGATTAAAAAAAAGGGGGGCAACTTTTTAACCAAAAACTACTTCACCCCTTTTACCCTCGCCCCCAAGGTCAAAAATTTTAAATGACAAAGGGTATCGAGTAATAGCTTGTTTGGAAGGTCTTCCAAGGTCCTATATTTTGATGTTCGAGTTTTTGAAATCAGTCGATACGTTTTCGAGAAAATTAGAAAAATCTTTATTCATCTTAATTTGTTCAGAAACACATGAAAATATGACTTTTTATTTCAATGAGTGTCAAAAATTTTGCCCGTTAGAGTTTGCCAAATATACAATTCGTTTATAATTTAAAACGGAAACTACCAACATAAACAGCAATTAGAAAGATTAGAAGTGGCGACAACCAAATAACAACCCGAATTTTTTCCGCATTCACAGCTATCCTGGGCGAACTATGTTTTTGAAAATGTCCGTCAGGAAACTGAACATCGCCTATATCATTGTTTTCTATCTGAACAAATTAAGATAAATACAGATTTTTCTAATTTTCTTGAAAATGAATCGACCGATTTTTAAAAATCAAACGTCAAAAGAAAGGACTTCAAAAGACCTTTCAAACAAGCTATTACTCGATACCCCTTGTCACTTGAAATTTTTAAAGGTAAGGGGATGGCCCTGGAGGGTGAAGTAGTTTTTGGTTAAAAAGTCCTCCTTGACGTTTCTCGACGGTTCTCGACAAACCCGTGGTGGGAACATTTCAAATGATGTACACAGAAATCCTTATACCACTGACGTTGTTAGAAAGAGTCAGAAGCACCACGTTGCCTATCAACCCGAGTGACGAGGCCACGCATGCAGCTGCGGCTTGCCGCGTTGCCATCGACGCACTAGTTATAAGATCGATGCCTCGAGATCGCTTTTTAAAATGTTTATTTTCGAAAATAAAAAACTCAAAAATGTACTTTTACAAAATTATTGTAATGTTATTATGATGTTAACAGCCCCAAGGCTTAAATCTGACTGACTATCAAATGTGTTGAGAACAATAAAGTAGAGTTTAGGTCTTCTAGGAAATTAGTAGCATCGTCGTCAGTACGAGCCCCTTCCCACTTCAGTTGGCCCATCTCAAGATTTGTACCAAAATATGCCTTTATAAACTAAACATGACGAAACTATTTACTTCTAAAACAATTTATTTTCTCAAAAACATTTTAGATACACTCTAGTCGTAAAAAATACATATTTGAAATCACATGGACCTATAACTAATAACAATGTGC